TAGGTGAAAACAAACATATTCTAAAAAATAAATATCACCTACCTTGTTGATGTACAAAAATATCACTTTCAGATGGAAAAGTCAGAGATAATTTGCAGGTACGTAGTTCTTTTTGTTCTCTCAGAGCTTAGTACAAGATGAACTGATGAAAATTAAAGTCCTTCGTGGGAATTTTTGTTGAATATGCGAGTTAGGTGTTTTTCTTAATTGAAAAACTTCAATTTTCGGTCAAGACAGATGCATTTCACGGACGTGAAATTAATGTAGGTTAACAAATTCTCTACATTTCTCGCCCGTGAAATTTTCGACCTCGCCCAAGAATTCAATCGTTTTTTCAGGGGTAGTTGGGTACATTTACTCCCACAGACGAGTCAGAAAAAGTACTAATTGGCCATTAAAAACATTTTTTTAGAGGTGGGTCATTTGAGCAAAAAATTTTTCTTGGGAGGCCATTTATGTCAATTACCCCATACATAAATACAACTACAAGTTCATTAACTCGAGTTTTCTCTTCATTGAATTTCTCGTCGAACAGTCCTCCCTAAAATGCTCTGATCATCAAGTTAGTCACCATATAAACGATAGAAACAAACACCTTAAGTATTAATGACAGATTTTTCACTTTGATAGATTTTTTACTTACTTGGGAAAAATGAGGATTCTTCCTTTTATAGCCTCGGGTAGCTGACCGGGAGGACGACGATTAGAGGTGGCAGAGGTGTGACGTGTTGTCTGGGGAGCGTATGGGGACAGGCTTCCGACAATCGCAGGGTGGTAACGCCTCCTGTGACCCAAGGACTCTTTCCTTACGATTGTAGGGTGTGTCCTTTGGTACCGACAATGTGCATCTCCCCCTACTATGGTTATGTGCGGGGCATAACCGCATGTGGTCCTTCGCTTCGCTCAACCAGACACGTGTCTTGTTCGACAGCAATGGAAGACAGGCAGCAATCACATGTGGTCCTGCTTCCACTAAGGGGTGGGCACGTGTCCTACTCGGATTTTACCCTCAACAATTTCTAATTGTTTTGTTGTTATTTTTTCTAAGTAATACAATCTAAGTATCTCGAAATTACAGGCTGCCAATGCTCATTCGTTGCTGTCGTGGTCACTGCGGCCTCTCTCCACCACGTCTCTCTACTATTCTTTGCAGGTATAATGTCAAACTATTTTTTTTTTTTGCCTCTATGATGTTACGAACTTGTTACGAACTTGAAATCAAATTACTGTTGCTTTTTAATTGTAGATTTTTGAAGTTTCTGAATTCGATGGTTGAAAGTATGGTAGAGAATTGAAAAATTGATTTATGTGATGTTTGTACCTTAGTTTTTTGTTTTTGTTTTGATAAATTATTTAGGAGTTACTTAGTAGGTTTGTCCTTTTAGAATCGTTTTCAATTCTTCAAGGTAGTGAAGCTAGTGATTTAGGTAGGTTTGTGCGCTAGTTTTTTTTTTTAATATTATAAAACTATATTGAAACATATTGTATTTTGCATGTTTGGTTGTATTTGTATCGTATTTTACGCTTAATTATTAGCTTGTATAACTATCTAGCGTTTAAGCAGTACTTGAACAATGTAGTGGAAATGAATTAAGCATACAACTCTTTCTTCACATTGGTTTATATTTCATTTGTTTTTTTTAGGTTCTTTTTCTTTTTCTCACGGAAGCTTTGGGAATTGTAGAAGGTTTCATGAAGCCAAACGAAGATGGGGATTTCTATATTAGGTTTAGAGGTACGTTTTAGTCAAATTTAGCTTATATAGTATTTGAATTTATGTAGTAGACTATTGTAAAATTATCTTTTGTTTAATATAAATCTAAGTTTATATGATAATTTTGAATGTGTGTTTATGGACCTCGATTTAAATTTGAAGAAATGTTTAGGTAACAAGATTGTAAAAAATATATATATATATATATATATATATATATATATATATATATGCAATGTGCAGATAATTTTTTAAAAAATTGAACATTTGGCAATGAAATTTTAATTTCGTCGCGAAAAACTTTTGGCAACGAAAACCAGATTTAGTTGCAAAAGACCTTTGGCGATGAAATTTAGATTTCGTCGCTACAGGTCTTTTTGACCTTTTGTGACGAGGCTATGACGACGATCGTTGCGACGAAAAAAAATCGTCGATAATACCTTTTACCGACAAAATATATGTATCTATTGCGACGATTTTATGCATCGTGAGAGCTCAAATTTCTTGTAGTGATTCAATTGCTCCTCCACATCCAAGATAGATGCCCACACCAATCCCACCTCAAAATCCTTCCCTAAAGTACCTAAGAACCAAATATGAGCCTTAACAACAAGGCACAAATATGTTGTGTAAATACAACACACAACTCAAGCCATAATAATACTCCAACCAAATATGTTATACAATTACAATACACACACAACTTAGGGACAAAAAATCCCACAATACATGTAGGTGGATTGTAAACATACTAAATTTAGAGTCAACTTCGGAATTATATATGGATAGCTCGATAACACGTAGGTTATAAGACAACTTCCTAACAAGTATATAGAATTCCATAATAGACTATACACGGCATACAACTTCGAAGTTCTTTTAGCATAACAAAAAATAGATGTGAGTCCATTTAATTACACCAACATTTAATGCATAACCACTGTGTTTAAATCATACATCCAAAATACTATATTAGGCAACTGTTCATTTTCTTGAGTGCATTTGATCATGATCCAAATATAATATTAGGCAGCTATTCATTTTCTTGAATGCATATCATGGTCAAAATATAATATTATTATTCTCCCATTTCATTGACACATAGGAGAAAAAAAGAAGGGCAGAGAAGAGCCCAATGACAACACACAAATATGTCATATAAATACACCACAGAAAGAAGTCCACTTTTCCCGACGCTTTCCTAAACAGCGTCGGGAGTGGATGATTTCTCCCGACTTTCTGTAACGATGTTTCAAACTTGAATTGTCGAAACACTTGTTCTCAACGTTTTTTAAAAACCATCTGGAGAAGTTTAGAATTGCCCGACGATTTTTAACAAATGTAGGGAGAAGTGGGCTACTTCGGACGTTTGTTAAAAAGCGTCGTCCCGGGAGATATTAAGCTTCTCCTGACACTTTTAAAAAATGTCGGGATTAGTCTGCTTCTCCCCATGATTTTTATAAATGATCAGGAAAAATAGTTTTTCTCAATGCTTTTGAGTTTGTTGGGAAAAAAGGCGTGAGAAAACCCAAATTTCTTGTAGCATAATAATTTTCTTTTAACAAAAAGAAAAAATATATACATATATAATATACTCGATTTTTTTTAGTTTATGTGATTTCATTATAAAATATTATTGTTGGCGGCGAATTCCGGTTGCAGGCCACGTGTCGCTCAAACGAACAGTCCGACTAGGGAATGAGTGAACCTAAAATCAAAGTTGTGCGGTGTCCCGCCTAAAATACTCTGACAATCAACTTAGTTATCGAGAAAGAAATAGGAGTAAGATACCTTAAGTGTGAGTGACAGAGGTTTTTCACTTAGTTGGTGAGGGTGAGGGTCCTTCCTTTTATAGCCTCGGATGGGTGACCAAAAAGGACGACGGTTAGAGGCGGCAAAGGTGCAACGTGCCATCTGGAAAGCATCTGAGGACATACTTCCGACAGTTGCAGGGTGGTAGCACCTCCTGTGACTCAAAGACTCCTCCCCTACAACTGAAGGGCATGTCCTTTGTACTGACAACGTGCACCCTCCCCTGCTATGGTTATGTATGGGCGTAACCGCTTGTGGTCCATTGTCTCATCCTAACCAGACGTGTGTCTTGCTCGACGACGTCGGGTTGTGGAAAGAGGCCGTACGTGGTCCCGCTTTAGCTGGGAAGTAGACACGTGTCTTACTCGAATTTTACCCTCAACAATTATAATTTTTATTTAATTTTTCAATTATTTAATTTTACTCGATGATTAATTAACATTAATAAAATTGTTTAATATAATTTCATCATTATTAAATATTATAACCCTGAAACTTTTAAATATTCTATATCAATGATTGGTGTAATTTTATTATAATTATTTGTTATTTATTAATATTAAATAACTTGTTAACATAAAAAATATTACTATTAAATTAAAAGTTATCACTGTATTAATTAAAAATAATATCCACATGGTAGTAGTTAATATATTTGTAATTAACTAGAAATGAAAAATAAATATTACTGTAATTGTATTATATCTCTAATATGGGAGAATACCTTAAGCTAACTCCCACACATACGCCAAAGCGAGCATAACTCAATGGTAATTGACATATACCTCCAACTAAAAAAAACTTATCTTAAAAAAAACGAGCGTAAGAGGTTGTGATCAATTTGAATTCTCCCCCATGTTGTACTAAAAAAAACTCCTACACACATATATATATTTTAATATTGTTAATTTTTAAACTTATCTTTAAAATAATATTAATTTGAAACTTATTGGAAAAATAATGTTTTGGAAATTCTTCTGTTACTGCTAGATCTCCTTCGAGAGAAAGTTTTCTATGAAGAGATGGTAGGTCGTCTCTAAACAACACTAGCCACGTTGCTTAAAAAAAAAAGTAGAAACAACGTGTATCTATTTCTAACCTAAAGTTCCGGTTCAAATCTAAACCTCTCACAATGTCGTCTCTTGATTGACACCAAAATATGTATAAAAACGATTACAAAGAGTAAATTTTTATATATTAAAGTTAAGTGAATAAATTACTGGCAATTAAAAAATACAAGGACCTCAATTTTTTTTTTTTTTTGATACAACAAGGACCTCATTATAAACTAAAGTTAAAGTAAAATTTTATTTTAACCTTACCTAAAAAGAGCAATTTTTTTTTTTTAAAGTTATTCCAAACCTCACTGACTTTATCAATGAATGAAACTAAAAACCATTTTCATTGCTAAGTTCATTCCTTTAAACAGGATCAAATTAATTTCTCTCTGTTCAAATTTATGATCAAGATTTACGGAAAACATAACAAATCCCATAATTTTATGATCAAATTCAATCACACAAAAAAAACTGATAAAAAATTGTCCAACTTCATCACCTTCCTTGATCCCTAAGAAACCAAAAATTGTCCAACTTCATCACCTTCCTTCATCAAGATTCCATTTTTGATCCTTCACACAATTCCATATTACAGTGCCCAATAGAGCGTTAGATCCAATTCTCAGATTTTCTTCTTCCAAAAAGTTGAAAAAGAAATCACTCGCCATTGTCCTTGAGGCTCGATTGCTTCGAGTATTCAGTCCGATTCTCAGATTCCGTGTCGATTTTCGAGTCTCTGAATCGCAGTTTGGCAATGGCGTCGCAGGCTGATTACGAGAAAATGCAGCTTCGTCAGAATTACAGCAACTTATGGCATACAGATCTCATGGGCACCATCGCCGCCGATCCCCCTTGTATGTCTCTCTATCATTTTCTTCTTCAATTCCTTAGATTGTTTGGAAGAATCGATTCTTAGAGAAGAAATTTTGAAGAAAATCTTTGGGTTTTCTGTTTAGTTTCTCTTACTCTGGTTTGATTTGTTCATGACCTGGGGCTTCATCTTCTTGCTCTGCTCTTTTGAAATTTGGCTAACAGGACTGTTTTAAACCGGTAATTTCCATTAAAGCAATAAGATTAAGATCTCCTAGAACACTCAAGAAACTGATGGAACAAGATAGTTGTTCTTTTTTCTCGCCCGATTCCATCAAGTTAGGTTTCGACAAAAGTATGGTTGGGATTCTACAGTTGAGGATGAGGATTTGGTGGGGAAAAATATTAACCGAATTTGGGTTCAAAGATAAAAGATCTTGGAAGAAAGGAGTTAGCGCTCCAAATATTTTGACTGTCAGTACTATGAATTCAAATTCACGGTTATTTCCGAACGCTAGAGTTGAGTTCAGAAATTCTTGTAGTGTAAATAATTTAGTTCGATAATTCACCAAGTGGGTTCTCCGAACTTGACCTGCGAGGTTCATCCACGTGGCTATCTGCTGAAGGAGTTTGTTATTTTGTTGATATGTTAGATCTTGTTTGACCAAGGAAATGCAAGGTTCTAATTTATTATACTGAAAAGTAATGAGGCTTTAGTTCAGTTTGAGAATACAAAATTTCTGTATAAAGTCAATTTTCTCACCAACCAAACAAGGTGTTTGCAGTTTAGTTTACCTTTTCTCAAACATTAATGTTATTTTACTTCTTCTGTTTTGCAGATTGTTGTTTTTCTATATTCTGGTAAGGTGTCTGTTATCTGATGAACTCTTATCTACCACTGTTTCGATTTCTGTACTCGAATTTCGTTTAGTTTTTGTGGACACTGTGTTCTTTAACTCTAACATTCATGGCCTCAAAAGAGTGTAAATATGTGCTTGCTTTATGATGTTCAAAATGGTATTGTTGGCTTTTCTTGCTTTTGAGTTTTGTATAGAGTACTTTGATATGGTTTTTCCTATGATGTTTCTTGATTTTGTGAAAAGTGCCCCATGCGTTTCTTTTCTTCTACGCAAACGAGCTCTTTACAACGATATGTCGAGGTATTCTCGATGCTCAGCGGATGTTTGTAATTTTACGACAAGATGAGAGTGCAGTAACATGGCTGAAACTTTTGATTAATGTATCACAGATACACATGTTGTGGGGGCTACATGCCCTGCAGTGGCAAGTGTGGAGAAAGTCAGTGTCCTGAAGCTTGTCTAGGCACTGAGGTACTGTTATCGATCAATCGGTCGAGAAACACCATCTCCTTTGAGCCTCTAATTATCTATCTACATTTTACTCCAATTTGATGAATTGTGTTTGATTGTTCTCTTCTACATTGTATTCAGGTGTTTTGTTGCTTTGCAAATTCGGTTGCATCGACACGTTTCATGTTGCAAGACGAGTTCAATATACAGACAACAGAGTGTGACAACTGCATCATCGTACGGTCTTCTCTCTCGACTCATTTGTTCGTTCATTAGTTTTTTCTCCCCTTTTAACAAGTTTACCTTATTTTGTAGGGCTTTATGTTGTGCCTCTCGCAATTGGCTTGCATATGCTCCATAATTGCTTGCTTACTTGGGAGTGAAGAACTCCAAGAGGCCTCAGATATAGTGTCCTGTTTATCTAATCTTGTATACTGCACGTAAGGAGTCACAATTAAATCTTCTTAATTCATAATGACATGAAACTTCTTTACTACTTTGAATTATATTATTGTTATTTATGTTTTTATTTATTTGTTTTGCAGCGTTTGTGCGTGTATGCAGGTAAGCTCGAACTTTGAAAAGCTTTAGGTAACAGGTTTGTTAATGATCTCACGAGTGCAATAAACCTAAGTAATGTAAATTTAAACTTACGGAACCTACTTATTCATATTTCATAATGACTTTTACAAATCATAAACTTTCGAAGAAAAGAATATTTTATATATATCCTATTTTTTATAAAATTTAAATACAAACTATGCAAACTTAGACTTCTTAATCTCAAACTTCATAGAACTTGGCTTATTAAAATCGTGAATCAAAGATCCTTCGAGAATCTACCTAACACTTTTTTGTAAATTTATGTCTATGAAATCTACCTTTTGTACTTCCTATTGACTTTTATAAGTTGTAAATCTATAGAACAACACTAGCTATGCAACCCAAGATTATTAAAACCGCGAACGAAACACGACTCTTCTCTTTTCTTGAAACATATCATTGGCCTAATGATTTGCTTGGTCATACATATATATATATAGATACATCCATACATATATGTTATTCTTGAATTCTCTATAGGAGCATGTTAGATTTCTGCAGTTAAAATAGTATTACCGTATAATATGAATCAGTTTTCTGCTTTGTAATGTTGTTACTATGGAGAAGTGCAGACGCAACACAAGCTTGAGTTGGATAGAAGAGATGGCAAGTTTGGACCCCAACCAGCCATGGCAGTGCCTCCTACACAGCAGATGTCTCGGCTCGATCAGCCGATTCCTGCTCCGGCTGGGTACCCTCCTTCACCATATGGACAACCATTTGGTTACCCGCCACCTCCCCAAGCTCAAG